ACCGCCGAGCCACGCCGTTGTCGTCTTCGGGTTCGCACGTCCGAGGGCTACCTCATCCACCCCTCCTCTATCGAAGTCCGCCATCGGAGGCCGCCGTTCGCTGCACGCCGGTGAGCCCTTCCTTAGCCACTGCAGTCAGCCATGGCTCTCGATCGCCGCGGACCTCTAATCCCCCTCTAACCTCTCTCTTTTCCTCTCTTAGGGTGTCCAAGAGCTCGGCCACCGCTCGCCGTTGCCGTCCATCGTCGCCCCCGCCCCCCCCCCCCCTACGCCGGCCGAACCCCTGTGAGGCCTCCCGCCCCCTCATTTCCCCTTTCACTCCCCTCTAGTGCCGGTCCGCGCTGCCGCCTTCGTGCTGGCCGCCGCCGTCTCCCGCGCCGCCAGTCCCCGTCGTGACCGCGCGCGCCGCCGCCGCTCGCCATGGCCAGGCAGCTGGCTTGAAGCCGAGCCGAGCCCGGCCGGTGCCACCCCCTCCCACTAGCCACTGCCTGGTGGGACCCACTTGCCAGGTACCACCTCCTCCCCTTGTGCCACTGTCATGCGGGGCCCGCATGCCGGCGCCCCTCCCCTCTCTCTTGAGCCACTGATGTGCGGGGCCCACATGTCGGCGCCCCCCCTGCTGACGTTAGCTAGGGATGCTTTATGGCACAATAAATAATTAAGGGCTTTTCTTTTATAGTAAAAACACAGATTATCTTCTAAAATTCATAACTAATTCATCCGAGCTTCGTTTAAGTCAATTCAAGTCTCCGTAAATTCATAAAAATCCCTAGAATCCTTTAAAAATGGTTTTGTTTCTTGTTTCAGTAGTCTTATAGCTTGTTTTGCTTGTGTACTTTGTTTGTCGCGTAGATTTCGGCCGTTTCGTCGATCCGCGGTTTCTCGAAGACGTTGCTGTGGTCCCATCAGCGCGAGAGCATGGCAAGTCATGCATTACAATTGATCATAGTGTACCCAATTTACAAATGTCCCGCATTTCTATTAAATGTTGCATTCTTTTACAATATCATGTGGGATGGGTCCTATTATATATTGTTTCCCTTACGCCATTGATAACTTGGGTATTAAAATGCATAGATGTTGGATTAGGAATTGCTTAGCCATGCTTAGTTCAACTAGTACACAAAGGGGATCACATTAATGCATAGACTTTGATTATGGGTAATTAGTGCCACCGCAATGGTGTTAGTTAATTAAAATATACTACATGGTGGGCTGTGGGTGCATGGTTTTGCTAGTCGTGCCCATGGCGATTAAGGACCGGTTCACGAGATGCCCTGAAAGAACTTATCGTACTTACCATAAGCCAGCGTGGGCAACGGCTGGGCTTGTAGTGTAGCTTTCCTCTGGCCGATGTACCCAGGCAAGGGTGGGCGTGATGGAGTTGGGTCGGCTGGGGTGTTCGGTTGATCGGCTTCCGGATTCACCATGGCACGAGAGGGGACTGCCCGCTGCCTTGCGAGGAGTAAGGGTGAAACTTGAGGTGTGGTGCGATTGGTTAGAGGGGGTTATGCGAAGGGTCCTGTCATGGCCTCTTTCCGGTATGTCGTGGTGGCATGTCGGCGCACGGGAACATGTCGTGGGGCTGTGTCTTGTGGGTACAGTTGTACACCTCTGATCAGAGTAAAACTATTCGAATAGCCGTGCCCACGGTTATGAGCGGTCCACTAGATTCACCGTGATTAGTCTCACCCCTAGTTAGCTTATGGAACTGGTTAGTTCAGGTAGTGGTTTGGGCCTGTCTCCACATGGTGTAGCGTGGAGCAGTGATCGGTTTATATTGATTAATTACTACAACTATTTTACTGCTTTCAACTACTGCTTTTAAATGACTGCTTTATTGCAAATGAACCTTTAGCCTCCTTTGGATATATCCTGCATCATACCTTCCCTTCTGGTATGTCTTGCTAAGTATAGTGGGTAGTACTCAGTCTTGCTCTCTTTCACACCAGAGTTGAAGTTCTTCTCAGTTGGAGCTGTTTCGAGGAAGTTGGTTCCGTCGCTGCCGTCAAGGATGCCTGTGGAATGGAGTCGCTCGCTGCTGGAGTCAAGTCTTCAAGCTTAGCTCGCTTTTACCTTTTCCGCTGCATTTGTAATCTTTTATATTTTTGTAAGATGTGGATCTGTATGTCAACAATTATCGTTTGTGTACCCTAGTTGGTCCTGGACAGGGGTTTAATACACATTCATCTTAGAAATTATGGTTCGTGAATTTCTGGGCGTGACATTTTGTCAAGTCTCCTAAATGTGTAACACATCTGGTCGCCGCCTTCGAGTGGTTTGACGAGCACACCTCAGGCTGAAGTTGACTGGCAGGCTAAAGGCCCATTAATGTCTCCAATATTCCTCTCTCGAGGTGTCGGATATTTCATTATGCTTGTTTGATGACTTGAATTATTCACTTCATCTCTCAATTATAATGGAAGGTCCGGAGAGCCTACGACAGTATGAAACAACGGTTTCGAATGTATTGAAACATGAAACAAATCCGAGTACATCGAGAAAAAAAATGAAACACCATCGAAAAAACCACTGCAACATTTCAATCTACACTGATGAAACATCATGGTACATGGACTGAAACATCAATATTCAAACATTGAAGCATCCAAAACTAGCAAAGGGGCCAAATAGAGTATTTATTGAATGTTGCATTTCACTGAAACATAAAAATCGCAACTGAAACATTAAGTTATATATGGTGAAACAAAAAAAATCAGCAACTGAAACATTTAAAAATTTTGTGAAACATAGTGAATATACACGTTGTAACATATCACTATCATGTATGAAATAACAAGTGTTAACGGATTAAAACATACGTTTTTATTTTACTAAAATATAGTCATGTGATATCTTGTTGTAAATATTTAATTGCAACAAATACAACGGTGTGATCAGATTATAGATTGGATAAATAGTTTAGGAGAAAAATCATTTTGAACATGTCAAAAATGCATACATGTATGGATAGAGAGGAAAGACAGTAAGTCTAAGGACCAAAATAGAAAAAAGATAATGAGAGGCGGAGAGGCGGGAGGTTTTTTTGCAAAATGTGTGATAGGAATGAGATGCTCGATCTGGATCAACCATTTTTCAATCCAATAGTCCACAATCTGGTTTTCAAGTTTGCATGTAGGTATACATTTTTATTTTACTAAAATATAGTCATGTGATATCTTGTTGTAAAGATTTAATTGCAATAAAAACAATGGTGTGATCAGATTATAGATTGGATAAATAGTTTAGGAGAAAAATCATTTTGAACATGGCAAAAATGCATGCATGTATGGATAGAGAGGAAAGACAGTAAGCCTAAGGACCAAAACAGAAAAAAGACAATGACAGGCGGGAGGTTTTTTGTAAAATGTGTGATAGGGATGAGATGCTCGATCTGGATCATCCATTTTCTATCCAATGGTCCACAATCTGGTTTCCAAGTTTGCATGTAGGTATAGGTTTCCATTACATATATTCCTTAGAAAGTTATGGTGCAAGAGTAAAATAGCTTTTTCTCTCAGTTATATCTCTATAAAAGAAAAAATATACTAAAATGATGGTCAAACTGTCTTTCGACAAATAACTGAAACTATATTTGTCCTATAGCTAATTAGCAAGCCAAGCAAATGCATAAATTTGAAGTGTCCTATTTACCAGTAATATAGAGGGCTAACCAACGTGAAGTATAGGAACCTTCACTTTTCACGCAAATTTCAAAGTGAAGGTTGCGAAGGAGGACGACAACTTGCATATAATTGAACCTTCGCAACCTTCACTTTTCACGCAAAAATTGAACCAAAAAGACCATATTAAAACACTAAACCCCATAAAACCCTCTAGATCCCGTTGTAAATTTTAAAAAAAGAGAGTAAATTTCATAAAACTACAGATACTTTGCACGATTTATTATAAAACTACAGATTTAAGAATTTATTTCATAGAACTAAAGATTTAGTGTCTTCGTTTATCACAAAACTACAGGTACTTTGCATAATATATCACAAAATTACAGATTTAGTGTATTCGTTTATCACAAAACTACATATTTAGTGTATTCGTTTATCACAAAACTACATGTTTAATGTCTTCATTAGCACAAAACTACAGGTTTTAGCATTATTAAAACCTATAGTTTTATGATAATGGAGACACTAAATCTATAGTTTTGTGATAAATGAAGATACTAAATGTGTAGTTATGTGATAAACGAATATACTAAATCTATGGATTTGTGAAACTATATAGTTTTGTGATAGATTGTGTAAAGTACATGTAGTTTTGTTATAAACGGAGATACTAAATCTGTGAAACAAGCTCTTAAATATGTAGGGCCCTTTGATTCGCAGGATAGGAAAAACATAGGATTTCCGGTGGTAGGATTTTCAAATCCTACGGGAAGAGAAAACAGAGAAAAACGTAAGAAGATCCCTCTGATAGAGGCATAGGGAAAACAACTTCATTTCCAAGAGGTCTGACCTCTTTTTTAGTTTTCATTGGAATCAACTCATAGGAATGCATTCCTATGGAATTTAAGGCTTGTTCGTTTCATAGGAAATATGGAGGAAAAACCATTCCTACAGGAATAATCACGGTTTATGGCAAATCCATTCGTTTTGTAGGATTATGGCAAAGGAAAGCAATGGAAGAATTCCTTTGTATGTGATTCCTATGGAATTTTGTAGGAAAATTAACATCCACTTGGACCTCTTTTTTCTATTCCTACGCATAGGATCGAGGCAAATCACTCGTTTCATTATGTATTTGAACCTAAGTTACACAAATTAGAGTATTCAAATCTTGATTGTGGTAACTTAATACAAAGATTCCTGTATTTTTCCTACCAACCATCTAAGAGTCATTCCTATGCTTTTCCTATCCTAAGTTTTGCACATGCATTCCTATGTTATTCCTACGTTTTTCCTACTCCTGTGATTTGAAAATCCTGTGACCCGAATAGGCCCTTATACTTGCCTTTCCTATGAATCAAAGAGGCTTGAAGGGAAAAAATCCTTTGGAATCCTATTCCTCCAAAAGTCCTTTGGCATTCCTTTAAATCAAATTGGCCCGTATGTTTGTGATAAATTATACAAAATACCCATAGTTTTATGAAATTTACTCTAAAAAAAACTAAATACCATAAAACCATTCATCTGTCTCTAGATACCGTTACAACCCATGAGCTGATATAGCATGGCACTAGTATAGTAGAAAATTAGAGCTTCCCTTTCAACTGCTACGAGTCCTTTAACCATCACTTTACACTTGGCAGTTATTGAACTTACGCCTGGTATAAACATGGTGGCGAAGTTCGCTTGCCACTGAAACAATGGCTTGAATTCAATTGCCTAGCCGTATGTTCATCTCCCCGATGTAGAAGCCCCTAAATGTCTCCAAAGGGTCAATCCACAGTATCCATTCAAAGTTCACCTTCAAACTTTTTCTTAATTTTAAGGGCAGCCCTGACGACGTTCCCTCTTGTTATGATCCCAACCTTCCAAATATAAGTTTGTCTCAAAACAACTGAACTCAGGCAAAAGAATAAAAGGAAAGAGATAAGGTTTGCCCACTCACCAATTTGCCTGAACTGTCAACTACAGGTAACCTGCGGTACTTAGTTTCAAGGAGTAACCTGTGGAATATGACATCATAATTTTTATTGAATAATAAAGGATATCCCTTTTTTTGAGAAATTTAAAAGTAAGTTAGTGATGTATATCAGAATTGTTTGCAGTTTTCTGAAAATACCTTGCAGCATCTTCAAGGTTAGTAGTTTCACGCACCACAAGAGGTGCAGACGTCATAACATCACCAATGACTTTCCCATTGGTTTTGCTCAAGAGCTTCTGTATCTCATTGAACGTCTATAGAGTATCAATTCATCAAAATCAGAAACAGTTGAACACGAGTAGGAAAAAAACATATATAAATAAAAGGAACAAAGCATACACGATAGTCGATAGGCAAGTTTGAAGAAAATGCCACATTCTTATCTGCATCGATGCAATATTCTAACTAATTTAGTTGTTAATAGTGATATTCCATCAACTGCAATGAAGGTTCCAGGACACTACTGTGTACTTCTCATCCAAAGAGATATTGTTGCACAAACAAGTGACATCTAGCACCCCGAACAAGATAAGAATCTCAAGTCTGATGGTTTAAGAGAGTTCACTGTGAAAAATACAACAGGCTGAGTGTGAAACTATCCTATCCACTCTTTTCTGAAGGATATGCAAACTGTGTACATGCAAGAAATAAATGAAACTTGGTCCAAATCAACATAAAGTGTGTACATTATGTTTCAGCCAAGCATCACAATTGTCCAGTTGAACAATCCAAATCTTGGACAGATGGAATGGTAAAGACCAGCCACCAAATGGTTATGTGATTCACTAAAATAGTAAAATTGCAGTATCAGATTGACTTCGAGGGGATCATCTTAACATGGCAATGGCCTAGAAAAATTACTTTTATCAAGAATTTCTTTTAAAAAACTTCTATAATTTTTTATAAAAAAGGTCCACTTGAGCTGGACAAAAACTGAAATCAAAGTTAAAAATAGATTTGTTTGTAAGTACCTTCCAAGTACTATCCACCTCAGGAAATATGTCTACTTCCGCAAGTCCATTTCCTGAAGAAGATTATTAAAACAGTAGAACAATACACAGTGAGCATCATAACATGGGAAAGCTGTTGCTAATTTGACAGATAAACAATACCAAAATGATCCCAGGTTCCAAGATTATTCAATAAACATGCTGTAAACTAGATGAAGCCAAACCATATGATGTTGCAACTTGCAACTACATGAGATTTGAAACACAGTTATTTAAACCAGGTGGAACTGGCAGTCCAACTGGGAAAAATCAGAACCAGAGCTTAGACCAGCTTGGTTTGCTAAAAGACCATGGTACAAGCTCTGGCTTCTAGGGAATCTCCACACGTTCAATACCACTGGATCAACGCCTGGTTATTGATTGGAATAAGAATTGATGTCTATGTAGCCATTATAATTTTATATTTAGCCTTATAAACCATTATTTTAACATGAAAATGGTTAAAAGATAATATAATTTGAACCAGCAGTTCACCAGTTCATCAGCTGGTCCCAATAACTACGATTTCAACTATGTAATAGTGAATGCCAGCATCAACTATTACAAGAATACCTGATATTGAATCGAGTGCTAAGAGATCATAATCTGACACAACGCCAACCTGCGGATGGGAAATAAATACTGGCACACATTAATGCAACACTTACACAAACTATATTGCACAGCAACACTATGTTATAACTGGGACAAAGCATGCTTGGTTCAGAGTTTAAGGTTTATTCAACATAACAGGAAATTAAGCAGCTAAAGGTCTACATTTTCTGTATGAATACTGCTAAGTAAAAGAAAAACATTGAACTTTCGAATGCTCTAAAAGGTAAAGGTTGAACATAACTAACATATTATCAACAAAAACTTTGATATGTTATATGTTACAGAAAAATAGTGGTGACTGGCAAGAACGTGAAACTCAGAAACAGAAAAAGAGCGAACCAAGAAAAAGTCCCAAGTTCAATCATGTGTGGACATGGACAGACAAGTAATGTAGGCTGATGTACAGAAGCAAAATGTGACAGATGGCCAGCCTTGGCTTAAGGGGTCCAAAAACAGCAGTCGCCAACATGTGTTCATAAATCTAGGAGAATTAGAACGTAGAATTTGTGATTAATAAGAAAAGTGAAATATAAATATGAATATCAAGTTGAGTAATCACTAAAGAATGGACAATATTCTTTTATCAATCAAGCAAGAAATATATATATTCCATCTATTTGCTGAGTTCAGTCATATCAAGTTATGCTATCTCTCCAATATAATACCCTAATCCCCTGAAGCAATGACATCTGGCCCTCCTCTACAAGTAGCTAACTCAATATGAAGGTTCACCGTAAATAGTGGTGTGCTTCAAAAAGACAATATTTAAATACAATATTATACCACTTACCAAATTCCACTCGTCATCAATAACAGGAAAGCCAGTTATCCTATGCTCCACCAGCATCTCAAGGGCTGCTCAAATATAAGATAAGTTGGTACCTCCTAATGAAAGAAAGAAGAGCACACAGCATAAAGGGGGAAAGGAACCTTCATCGACTGAAGTTGTTGACTTCACAACATGGAGTTCTTCCCTTTTAGTCATAAAATCACCAACAGTGTAAATTCCACTGTTTTGCTGAATAACAAGAAATTCAGGAATATTAATATGGATAAATATATCTCAATCCTGCAAATAGAAATTTGTATGTACCACATAAAATTGGAGGTCAAGCCTCATAGAGAAGGAAGTTATAGAGGAACAAGTCCACATCAATCTTGAACTACCTCTGTCCAAAACATAACCTTCAATTAGAATACAACATCAACCTACTAAATTTTTCATCTGACCCCTTTCAACTCACTCAACCCAGTTTTGGGCCGACTCAAAACTGAATTGTCAAATCAAGCCTCATCATCACTAGGATATGCATGCCACTCGGAATGAAACGGCAATAGCTCCTATATGAACTACTGGGGAGATCATAGCGGATAAGTCGAGACCTAACAAAATAAGTAAACCAGCTGTGTCGCAAAAGACTAGGATGGGAAACAAAACGGAATGTACCGGATTTTTAGCACGTACAACCATCAAACCAGAGACCAAAGCAGGGCTCGACAAAACTGAAAGTATCATGGTACATCGTCCTCCCTTGAAATGGAACTTGAATGCTGGAGCAAGAAGACGCATTCAAGTCGATCTATTACGACCAGCGCGGTTGTTCGTATTTCATTTTCTTCTTCCAAGCTGACACTCTTCTTATAAAAGAAGAAAGCACTCACTGAATTACTTACTGAATCTCAATATTAGTTCTTCCTCATCGTCTGTTCTTTCCCTCCCATCCCCCCACTCAGCAACAGAGAAAAACAACAGAAGGAGCCACAGCTTGATGGAGCTCAATAAATATCCACTCCTGGATGAAGCTTACTAGAGATCCACTGCAAATCCTGTCATGTCAGATCTTACGTGTGAGTATTCACTTTTCAGTACTGAAATGTATTGATTGGTTTAATCCACACTGAATTAACCAGAACGGAAGGCAAATGAGTAGTCTTTACTATGCCCATGGAAACTGCAACAACACTTGCTGGTTATTGGCTATGCACTTACTCCCTCCCTCTCATAAAATACCAACCTAGTACTGGATGTGACACATCTTATATTCAGATTCGTTGTACTAAGATGCGTCACATTCAGTACTAGGTTGGTATTTTATGAGACGGAGGGAGCATGTTGCAACAATTTGAGGAAGGCAATGGTGGTTTGGCTGTGGATTTTGATGGTAAGCACAAACAGGTTGATCTCATGTGGCTTGCTTGCATCTCCATGCTGAAGCGACTTGGACTGAAACACAAACTTATCCTGGCTATCCATGGAGCACTTCATGGTTGCTGCAGTGGTGCATCCATAGCTTGACAACATAGCTTATTAAGACGGGGGAGCATTGTTGTTGTGCGCACCACTGGTGAGGTCACCTGCAGGCGACATAACCAGTGACCATTCCCCACACATCTAGATATCATAACCCATAAGGAGGTGCCAGGCCAAGTGGAGCCAGGTGAATCTGAAAGCACCAAGTCCAAAGTGAACATGTTGCATATCTTGCCCGGTGGCATCAAAGCTGACATAAGGGCGACATTGAATAGTCCAGTGAGAGAGTAACATTGAATCTGAGTTAATGTGGAGGAGGTTGGTGCTAACAATGTAGAGAAATAGATGGAAGAGATGTAGGACAACGAAACCTTTTAACAACGCCCACAAAACCATAAACCTGGTGGGTGTCATATTGTCTTTTCAAATTTCAAGCTTACCTTGGGAACAAGCAGAAGGAACTCAATTCATTTACTGACAGGTCAAAACCATGCATGCAAAAACAGAAGCACCTCATCAATGTATTCGATATGGATCATTTCTTCAGCCGTACCTATCAGCGCCGTTGTTGACAAAAGAAACACAACAGCGCCGCAAACGCTGCGCCAAATTCTGCGGATATTCCGTACATCGCCAACTAGCACCATACTCATTGTTTTTTGTTTTCATTATCAGTTTGTTAGGATCGGTTGTTAGGTTCTCAAGCTTTGTCCTTTATCTCTAAGATTAGTTATTCCCTTGATTATAAAAGGGGGCACTGCATTGTAATCAAACAAGCAAGATCAATCCAATCTAGTTCTCTACACATTCAGAGCCTCTCGCTGGCTGGGGATGAGCCCTATTTTCGGCCTGAGGGCGATCGTGAGTATCACTGTTACCCCCTCCGCAATCATCCCTTTCGAGCATTCGCCGCTACAACACCACCGCCGCCGTGCGCCTATCAGCTTGGCATCATAGCCATTCGCCGCTCTCGCTATGTTTGGCGAGCACGTCGAGCCAAACGCCGCGTCACGCGGTGTTGAAGCCAAGCTCGACCAGCTGATCGGACACATCACCTCCCTCACCACCAGGCTTGATCGGCATGACCAACACATCGCTCGCATGGAGAAATATCAGGAAGGAGATCGTTCGCCCCCACCTTAGCATCGTGACCGATCTCCGGCAGATCACGACGATCGCCGCGGTCACCGCGGTGCATCATGCTACCACAAACTCAATTTTTTGACGCACGACGATGAAGATGACCCGTTAAACTGGCTCAATCACTGAGCAGTTTTTTCAGGGACAGGAGATGTTGGAGGAAGAAGAGCCGAAGAGGTGTGGCTGGCCTCATATCACATGACCGGTGCAGCACGTGAATGGTATCACCAACTCAATGCACTGAGGGCGTCCTAACGTGGTCGCGCTTCGCCAACTTCGTCAACCTTCGTTTTGGACCACCGGTGCGTTCCAAGAATACTACGCGAATGCTATCCCACCTCCGCTGTACTGGGACAGTCGAAGAATACTAGCGTCGGCTCCTCTCGCACCTAGCGTGAACCGGGCCCTTGATGGCATCCCAGGTAGTTAAGCTTTTCATCGCCAACCTGCTTAAGCCACTCGCACGAACATTGAGATGCAGAAACCCTGCTCGCTACAGATGGCCATGAGCCTGGCATGGGCTTACGAGCAGCGGCAGGAGGACCAAGACAAGAGCGTTTCGCTCATGGCGCCCAAACCTCAGCACAAGACCTGCTTTGCCCCACACCTGATCACGTCTACACGAACACCAGCCCCTGTCAAGACCGGGTCGTCTTCCTCCACGCACAAGTAACTGTTGGCCCTTCCGCCGGTAGCCGATGCCAAGCCTCGCTTCAAGTGCCTCACGCCAGAGGAGATGAATGAACGGCGCTCCAAGGGCTTCTGCTTCAACTATCCGGAGAAGTTTAAACCCAGTCACAAGGGTGCTGCAAAGGGGATTTTCTAGGTCAAGTCCATTAACGACAACGCCACCGTCCTTACCCCTGAAGATACCGAGGCGATAGAGGTGTTCCTCCTCGCTCTCTCGAGCATTTGCACCAGCCGCACGATGCAATTGCCGATCATCATCAAGGGACACCACCTCGTCGCTAGGGGTGGCAACAGGGCGGGTTGGACAGGAACGGCCCTGCCCCCGCTCACTTACGGGTTCACCCGGCCCCAGCCTTGGAGTGACGATCGGGGCAAAATTGATCCCCGGCCCCGGCCCCTGTTGGGCCCCGAACTCCGGCCGGGTACCCGTAGCCCCGATGCAAGTGGCAACTGCTGGCGCCTGGAGGCTGGAGGGAGAAGAGAATGGTGCTAGGGACTTGAAGACGAAGGGAAACGACTCAAAGAAGAGATAGGATAAGGAGGCGCCTAGAGATGGAGGGGAAAGACGCGAGGAGTCGACAGCCAACGAGACATGGGAGCCGGGAGTGATAACGCGGTCGGTGAAGCTTCGTCGACGGCTTGGCAATAACGGCGGGTGGGTAGAAGCCGAAGCGCGACACGAGACGATGCGTGTGCGTGCCTCATCCTCCTAGCCTCGCTCGATTGCCGCCGCCAGGAACTGATGCCTGATGCTAGATGGATTAGGTTTTGATGTTGAACTTATATCTCCTCTAAAGTGGGCTGCATAAGGTTATTTCTTAATGGGCTTGCCATCCAGACTTGTGATGGCAGTACGTGGGCTGCTTTTGTTGTTTGGTGGGCTTTTCTTAGCTAGTGGGCTATCTCTTGCTCAAAACTCCAGGGTCCCGCGGGTGAAGATGCTGCCCCGGCCCCAGAAACTAATAGGGCCCCGCGCCCGCTCACCCACGGGTGAGAAATTTCCCCCGCCCCTGTGGGGGAAATTGCCACCCCTACTCGTCGCCCTTGTGGACTCAGGCTCCACGCATAATTTCATCGCGGGCGAAGCTGCTCGCCGCCTGGGACTCAAGCTGACACCACTCCAAGACGCCTGGGACTTGAGCTGACACCACTCCAAGACATCAACGTTAGAACAGTGACCATGTTTCTTGCTCGGGCTGCAAACACGATCTCTATGTCCACATCCACGACAAGTTTTTCGACATCGACATCTACTCCCTACCTTACAAGGGTTCGACGTCGTCCTTGGTGTCTAGTGGCTGTGCCGCCTCGGCCCCATTACACTTTGAGGTACTCTCCATGGGGTTCTGGTGGCAAGACAACCGCGTGCTCTGGCGCGTTCTTCCTCAAGCCGTTACTCCGTCGCTTCGTCCTCGTCTTCTTCGACGACATCCTACAACACGAACAGAGAACATGATTCTTGCTAGTTGCTAGCCCTTTTCGTTGCAACATATCCAGTTTGTTCATAAGGTATCTTCAATTTCTCAAGTTCCCGCTCAACAATTTCTTATCTAGTTCCAGTCTAGGCAGTCGCGCACCAGATCATGGCTTGGTCAATGCCAGAAGAATAGAAGATTAGATAGATAGAGGAGCATGAGAGCTTAAGAGTCCTGGTGGAGGAACGAATGAGCGATGGTGCCAGATCCGGAGGACCAGATGGCCAATTCTAGAACACTATCAACTGACGGGTGGAATTTTATCAATTAGATTCTGGAGAATGGTAAATCCTAAAAATATCGACGAAATCACACGATCACCAAGATGATCACATCCACCCTCAGCAGTCTGCACGGTCAATCAAAGTTCCTGCCTAAACAAAACTCCATGCGTCCACGCCACAATTCAACTGCGAATACTAAGTCAAGAAGACAGCACGAATAAACATTAAACAAGGCAATGGGGACAGAGAACTCACCCCAGCGACGGAGGCGTGGTGCGGCAGGCCGCGCGCGGCGAGCGGGGCGGCGGCAGCGGACGGGCGGACGGAGGCTCTCGACGGCGGCGCACGGGACCCAGCAGCGGGAGCCGCCAACCGTGGCTCCGAGGGCAGGGAAGGCCGCCGGCGGCCGCCGGCAACAGCCGAGAAGTCGGCGCACAGGAGCAGCAGCGTGGCGCCCATGGGAGCAGGTTCCCCCGACCCCCGTCACACACACACACAGTCTCTCTCCCTCACGCACGCCACCTCCCGCTCGCTCGCGTTGGGGTTCGTCGTGGTGTGGTTGGGGAGAGTGGCGAGCGAGAAGGTGAGGAGGAGGAACTTGTGGCTCCGCCTGCGCCTGTGTCCCGTTTGGGTAAAACGGAATGGAAGAGAGGCAGCCGGGCAGGGATATTTTCGCTAGAAAAGGAAACAGTAATTTTTTCTCAAGCACGCTACAAATGCTAAGGCTCATAACACGTGCATTTTTTTTATAATGGATTTTTATTAATCCGGTCTCTATATCCACGAAGGATATACACGGCTAAAAGTACTTAGACCCACATCTCAATAAGGAGGAGAACACACAACCAAAAAGG